CTGCAGATCCTAACATTCCTCTGGCCTTTAGGACCTGCTTCGCTAGCTCATGAATCAGCCTGTGCCTGTGATTAATTCAGAAGACTTTGCTGAGCTGAAGTTTCATCTGCTGGATTTCATTTGAGAGCTCGTGTCAGTGCCGCGCTCATTCTTCTTCAGCATTTAATCCTGTAACTGCAGTGGGAAGCTTGCATCGGATTCTTGCCTTGTTCTCATGGGAACATGCTTTTGCTAAAGGAAAGGCAAGGCAAAGTCCTCTGTGATCCCCTTGGCTTTTTTTTTTAAAAAAAGGAGGTTTTGTTTATTTAGGGGCTTCTTTTTTTTGTGTTTTGAGAGTATGTCATTGCAGGATAAATCTAGCTGAGTAAGAAGCAGCGTTGAAAAAAGACTGGCTGCCTAACTTCTAATAATGGCTTGAAGCTTCCTTCAGCGGTTACATTTGCAAAACCAGAAAATGGAAGAAGCTGCAGGGTATATTAATAACATTTTTTAGGTTACTCTGCCTTCCCGATACTTCTGTCCAGCACAACTTTTGGAGCATAGGTTGAACTTGAGAATGCTTTAAGGACTGAATTTGTGATACACGCGTGTGGATAGAGCCGTTTTGGCCGTGATTTCAAACGCTTGGGCTTGTTAGCCGTGTTTAAAAGGTAAATGTTCATTATCTACCGCTTCTGCCCCGCTGCAAGCTGATGAACGCGTAAAGAGCGCAGAATGCATCTCTGGCTTGCTCTTGGTCCTTAAAACTGTCTGGCAAAAGCAATGAGGGACAGAAAATGAGACTCGTGAAGATTGTTTTATTATTTGCAGTCAGATATTTAGAAGAAGCAAGAGCCCATCCCAGCACGGCTCGGTACAGCAGGGGGCAAAGATCCCCTGCCTAGGGCAGAGCCGGTAAGCTGGAGCCGGGGGAGTTACGTCCCTGAGGTGGTGTGAACAAGCTCTCCGGCTGCGATGCAGTGCTGTCCCACACGCAGACTTCTTGATTCCGGGTGCAGGAGAGCCACATCCCTGGTTGCTCGGGTTTGGTTCCTACAAGAAAGGCGTTTTGCAACAAGCATTAAGTATTTCTCTTTGCGGGAAACAACGTGCAGGTGGGGAGAAGGTGTGCCATCCTACACCATGTAGTAAAATCTCTCCTCAAGCGCTATTGATCATCAATTTTCAGAGGCAGTACCCAAATCTGCGGTTGGGGGAGCTCTGTATTACTGGCGATGCAGTGGTTACCTTCCTGCTCTGATTCGCAAAACCAGGATGGTGCGATCTCTGGCCCGAGTTTGGAACCGTGCACCAGCGAAGTGTGCGCGCCGGAACGGTTTGTCGCAGCGTGGTTAATCAGCCTTGTAGGATTCCGCCTGCCCTAGCCTGCTCTGTCTTAAAAAGCAAAAAAAAAAAACCCACCCTGATGTAGGGACCATATAAAACCTGGCGGGTTTGGGGTAGCTCTGCAGTCCTGTATGCTGGTTTGCTGCTTCGAACTGTTGTATGTGCAGTTTGCGTGGAAATTTCGAATAGCATGGCTTCTGTTGTGTTCGTTCCCCATTCCTGTTGGGATTTTTACCAACTTTTATCAGTGGGTTTGGTAGTAAGAGCATTCCCGGCATGGTGAGTTGGTATCAGGAAGAAGGTTTTGTGTTCAGAATTGTACATAAGCACATAGAGAACCGGATTGAGGAGTCGTGCTTGGCTGGTAAGGGAAGAAGTAATGGGATAGTGTGATGGTTGTCCAAGCAAAACAATTCCAGTAACAAATACCAAGTATAATAAGTAGCTGGAGAACAAGCATTATTTGGAGATACGAGTCAGCAGACAATTTTGAAAATAACACAATTGCTTGAGGAGAAACCGTGAGCACCAAAAGAAATGAGTGTTACCCTCGTGATCATCAAGGTGTCTGCATAAACAGAAGCACATTCCTCTTTAATCCTTCTGACCCTGAGGCTTTGAAACAGCAGAACTCCCGGAGAATTTTCGATTGAGTTTGTTTTCGGTGAGCTGATCAATGCGGCCACAAACGGTGCTGGTTAACAGCCGCTCGGAGTGGGAGGGGGCATAATTTCTTTAGCGCTGTAAGTGGATTAGCTGAATGGACACCCTAGGTGCAAAGTGCCTCTGCCATCCCCAGAGCTCGGGGGCAGATGGGCTCCTGTGTGCGTGGCCCAGCCCGTGTCCAGTCTGCAAGTCTGGACATGCTTCCATGGAAGCATTGGGGTGTGCTCAGCTTTTTGGACATGCTGAGAGAGCCTTTTAGGATGGAATTGAGGATTTGCGGCGCGAGCGGTGAGTGAGAGACCTGCGCTTCAGCCATGGCGCTGACATAG